TAGGGGCGAAGGTTTGATGTGACTACTCCCGGCTCCTGGGGTGCTTCCTGAAGAGCTGGATGGTCGCCCATGAAAGCTTACGCTCTAATAAATTTGTTAGTCTCTAAGGTGCCACAAGTACTCCTGTTCTTCTTTTTGTGTCCACTGGATCCCCCTTGTCCACATGTTTGTTGACCCCTTCTAAGAACTCTAATAGATTAGTAAGAGATGATTTCCCTTTACAGAAACCATGTTGTCTTTTGCCCAACAATTTATGTTTTTATGTGTCTCACAATTTTATTCTTTACTATTGTTTCAACTAATTTGCCTGGTACTGACGTTAGACTTACTGGTCTGTAATTGCCGGGATCACCTCTAGAGCCCTTTTTAAATATTGGCGTTACATTAGCTAACTTCCAGTCATTGCGTACAGTACCTTATTTAAAGGTCCAGGTTAGCAACCATAGTTAATAGTTCCGCAATTTCACATTTGAGTTCTTTCCGAACTGGTGAATGCCATCTGGTCCCGTGACTTGTTCCTGTTAAGTTTATCAATTGATTCCAAATCCTCCTCGAGTGACACTTCAATCTGTGACAGTTCCTCAGATTCTTATCTACAAAAGCCGGCTCAGGTTTGGGAATCTCCCTAACATCCTCAGCGGTGAACTCTGAAGCAAAGAATTCATTTAGTTTCTCCGCAATGACTTTATCATCTTTAAGTGCTCCTCTTGGATCTCGATCATCGAGGGGCCCCACTAGTTGTTTAGCAGGCTTCCTGCTTCTGATGTACTTAACAAATGTTTTGTTATTACCTTTGGAGTTTTTGGCTAGCCATTCTTCAAACTCCTCTTTGGCTTTTCTTATGACATTTTTACACTTAATTTGGCAGTGTTTGTGCTCCTTTCTATTTACCTCACTAGGATTTGACTTCCACTTTTTAAAAGATGCCTTTTTATCTCTCACTGCTTCTTTTACATGGTTGTTAAGCCACGGTGGCTTTTTTTTTGTTCCTTTACTGTGTTTTTTTAATATGGGATACATTTAAGTTGAGCCTCTATTATGGTGTCTTTGAAAAGTATCCATGCAGCTTGCAGGGATTTCACTCTAGTCACTTTACCTTTTCATTTCTGTTTAACTAACCCCCTCATTTTTGCATAGTTCCCCTTTCTAAAATTAAATGCCACCGTGTTGGGCTGCTGAGGTGTTCTTCCCACCACAGGGATGTTAAATGTTATTATTTTATTGTCACTATTTCCAAGCGGACCTGTTATAGTTATCTCTTGGAGCAGATCCTGCGCTCCACTCAGGACTAAATCTAGAATTGCCTCTCCCCTGGTGGGTTCCCGTACCAGCTGCTCCATGAAGCAGTCATTTAAAGTATCGAGAAATTTTGTCTCTCCATTTCGTCCTGAGGTGACATGTACCCAGTCAATAGGGGGATAATTGAAATCCCCCACTATTATTGAGTTCTTTATTTTGATAGCCTCTCTAATTTCCCTTTGCAATTCATCGTCACTATCACTGTCCTGGTCAGATAGTCAATAATAGATCACTTCTGTTATATTCTTATTAGAGCATGAAATTTCTATCCATAGAGATTCTATGGAACATGTGGATTCACTTAAGATTTTATTTCATTTGATTGTACATTTTCTTTCACACATAGTGCCATTCCCCCCTCACACAACCTGTTCTGTCCTTCCGATATATTTTGTACCCCAGAATGATTGTGTCCCATTGATTGTCCTCACTCCACCAGGTTTCTGTGATGATTATTATATCAATATCCTCCTTTAACACGAGGCACTCTAGTTCACCCATCTTACTATTTAGACTTCTAGCATTTGTGTACACTTTAAAAACCTGTTTCCCGATGTGTCAGATTCTTTTTTATGTGAATCTTTCTCATCTGATCTGGCCCATACTTTATCCTCTTCCATCCTCTCCTCCTGACTAAAACCTAGAGAATCTCTATCAATAGACTCTCCTCTAAGAGAAGTCTCTGTCCGATCCACGTGCTCCTCTGCAGCAGTTGGCTTTCCCCCATCTCTT